TAATTGATAATAAACAATCCGTGACTGAGACAGCAATGTCATAAAAATCCAATTAGCTACCTGTATTTACAATCCCATGTGTATTATACATGTATATTAACTCAAAATTTTGAAACTTTAAATGTTTATATCTAATAAGCTAATAAAGTTATATTAAAAATTCAAATGCCATTTACCATTAAATTAAAAACTCAAACATTTTATTAAATTAAAAATATGTGTTACCATTTAAAAAATCAAAATTGACCCCCCTCCAAGGCATAAGGGATGAACTTAAAAAGTATTACATAGTTAAAAATTCAAGAATAATGTGTAACTAAAGATAATAATAAAAAAATTTTTTTAAATTATTATTATTCTGTAAGTAATTGAGTGGGTTATGATAAAAAAATCACCCTGTATATGTAAACTACATGAAACATATTAATAATATTAAAATAAAAAATAACTAAAACCTGTCCAGAAAAATGACACAATATAATATTTTTTCAAATTTTTTTAAAACTTTATCTTTACTTACGTTTACCTTACTTTTAATATAGTACCTGTTTTAGCATAAAAAGGTATTACGCTAGAGAATGGGAGTTTTGTCAGCCGAGGGGGAAGAAAAGAGTTGCCAGAACAGCTAAACTGACTTGCTGAATTAAATGTTTTATATTAAAAAAAAGGCCCTAAGTTAAAAACCCCAGTCACGTCGACTATTTATAAACTAAGTTTTTTATTTTATTTATTAATATTATCAGAGCCGTGAATTATATGCATTTAAACATTTTGTTAAGTTAATTCGAACACACCATATCAGTAAGTACAAATTAGTATTATTTGATTTGAAAACTCGGTAGTGTTTTCCCGATGTCTTAGTAATGGGTGTGATTACAGAGGTTAATCCCCCTCCCAAAACAAAAAATATTTCCGCGTTACTAATTTTACGACTATGTAGCAAAGCTTTGAACCCTTTAAAATTTATAAATGCATATAATTCATAGCCCTGAATATTATATATTTATTGACTGCTTATAAATATATATTTTTATGATCAGTCAATAAAAATCTTAGTTATGATAACATATTAAAAATATTCAATTAATTTTTATTCGTTAATTTTATAATATTTTTTAAGAATACGCCATGATTAATATCTTGCAATAAATTTATTTACTGAACGTGATTTAATTTATTATGGTGGTTACCCACGAAGCGATTTAGCCGCCAGCGGTCTTGAATAGAAAACCGCTTTAGTAAAAAAAATAGCGTTTATGCCTAACACGTGAGCGGTTTTATGACCGTATTAATTTTTGGCGCCAAATTTAAAATGTTTTAAGAGTATTGTGAGGATTAATTATAATCTAGTTTTTTAGTAAAAGGTGACAGTTATGAATTTCAACAATGCTGAGTTAGTCGCTATTATTAAATAACTTACCTTTTTTTACAATTTTCATTTATATGTTTTATATTTTTGAAACTTTCTAGAAGAAAATCAGTTAAAAAAAAAACCCAGCACAGGGGGGTCGCGGCACAGTTGTGACGTGGTATAGTTGGATCAAGTATAATGATATCTGACAGTGATTAAAATCACTATCAAAAATAAACGCTTCGATGCAAATCTTTAGATAGTGTTTAATTT